ATGGTAATAATGATAATAATTATGTTAAAATTCAAACTAACGTGAAACACGTGAAATTTGGAACGCTTGACATAGCAATTTTTTATCGACTGTTGTATTTGCAGAGAATACAATGTAACAATCAACGGACACGTTGTTTGGTAACTTAAGTTAGGACTTTAATTTTATTTACAGCTTACAACGAGCAACATAATCACCCTCTACTAATCGAACGCGATCGTGTCCTGGGTGATTGTGTGCCTTTGTACATGTTCCACGTACTCCCTTTTTCTTTGGCAATATTAAAAAGATAGACGAAAAAAAAAAATACATTCTACTTTTCTGTATATTACGTTAGGCACTAGAAGAATCACAGTCATGAAATCGACGAATACCGCTGGTAAACGGCAACGCCATTAGGTAAAAGAAATGCTTTAGCACCTTTGAAGGAAAAAAATGCAAATCAGAACAGAAATCATCACTGATCGCAATTATCCAATCGTCGTACCGTTTCGTCGTAATCAGCGATACCTCCTGTCCCTGATTCTTCTTTCTCTCTCTCTCTCTCTCTCTCTCTCTCTCTCTCTCTCTCTTATGATTCTTACGATACTACGATGTAAAGAAGAACTCCAAAAATGATCTGCGTAACGCATCCCCCAATGGCCATGGCACTTGATATGTAACTATGAGCAATCTCCGCTCTGGTGAGCGCGCCTAAAGGCACCTCCGCCGCGATCCTGGGGCTCCTTTCCAAAATTCTGGTAACTAGCTTCTCAGTCTCGGCCACGCAAGCCCTCATTTGCAAAGTCGAGGGTCTCCTCGAGCTAGGCTGAATAATAATGAACGTATCACGATCCGGAGTCATCATTCCGCGAAGAACACATTGTGCAACCTGAATCTGTCTCCCTAGAGCAGACAATAGAGTCTCCAGCGTGACCGAATCTTTATCCGTATCCTTGTCCATCGTGTGGTATATCCTATCCAACTGTAAACGAAATAATAAAAAAGTAACATTTTAGGACACTGTTAAAAAAAAAAAAAGGAGAAAAGGAACATCGCGTACCTGTTTTTTGGAGTAAAAAAGCTTCGCTGCTCCACCGCAGACAGGACAACAAGCACCAGGCGGTGTAACTCCGACGCAGTATGGCTCGATTAATCGAGGACACTGTACCAAATCCTCGCAACGAGGTTTAGCTTGATCTCCGATCAATCCGACGGCGACACAGGGTCCAAAGTAGTCCACCACTGTCCTCTCTGCCCAAGCAACGCATTCGTTCCCGTATACCTCTCCGTTGATACCGCAAACGGGACCACGCAAGGTACATCCTTCCAGACATCGTCCTCTGTACCCTAAAGTACCTCCAGCTCGAATCATCGCGCATATAGAACGGTGCTGACGATTTTCTCGGTCGCAAACTGGACCAGTTTCGTCTCGAGGATCGCAATCGAGAGGAACGCACTCGTATTGACGACAAGGTTTATGAAGACCGGATAGACAGATTCTGGTCCTCCTGATGCATTTTTCCATACTGTCGCAAGGATTCGGCGCGCACGGATCTCGTGAGGAACAGCTACCGAATTCTACTTCGTTCGCAGACATCTTTGCGCATTTTGCAAGGCAACCTGATGCAAACGTGAAGCCTAATCTCCCGCAGACCGGCACATAATGAGGTGGACAATCGCAGGGTAACGATGGAATTCTGGTTTCCCCGCAGCTCTTCTTAGAACACGTGAACTCTCCCTCGAAACAGTGACAGGGATTGCATTCGAGGTAGAAGTTGGAATTGAATTTGAAACAGTTCAGTGGTCTACATTTTTCTAGACCGTGCAACGTACACTGGCAGATCTTCTGACAGCCCTGTTGATCGAACCTTGGGATCTGCACCCAAGATCTAACCGGTACCAATTGCTTGGACATTTCTCCGAGAGAACAACCAGGTACACAGCGATACACCTGCCTTCCGTAATTGATCAACTCGCAGATCTCACCCTGTGTGCAAGGATTACTCTTGCAAGGTGTCATAATGTCCTCTTCCAGTCTCACCACAGACTCGTTATCCTGTGGATCCTCTAAAAACGGTTTGAGAGAGACGCAAGGTGCGTCGGATCTAGCTAAAGATAGTTTGGCGCACAAAGTAGCTGCTGTATGGGGACCAGTGATGGCAGACCAGTCTACGCAACTAGCCATCAATTCTAGACAATCCTCTCTGCACAATCTGGTCTCGTGGATCCTAGTTTCGCAAGGTCTCAGTTGCAACAGACACGCCGCAGCCCTGAGAGTTTCCGGCGGGCAAGACGCAGCAGCTCTAACTGGAACACCTAAACCTCGAACGATTCCTCCTCTGGACCAGTGATCCGCTTCCCATTTCGCCGCCTCGTCAGCTGCCGCTGAACAGCTCCTAATGAACGTCGAAGAAGAAGGATAAGAATAGCAGTTGGACAAAGTTTTATGGAATCAGGCTTGGCCGTGTTCCAAACTCTCTACCTAAATAGCGTCGTTGACCTGTCGTTGAATCGAGCGCAATAGGACAGCCCTGAACATCCCATTTCGCAAGGGTCATCAGCATCCTCCAGACACCTTCTCAGCTCTCCTTCCAAGCTCGAGGACAAACATTCTGCATCGAGCTGAAGCCACGCGGATTCCCAGTCCGCTTGAAACGCTCTCCTGCATAGATTCTGGCACGATGGTTTGGTCGCTTTGGTGCAGCACGACAATTTGCCCGCATCTAGTGGCAGACGAGCTGGCTTGGACGAGCCGGACTTCATTAAACAGCTCCAGAACGGCGTTTGTGGCAAAACTGGCCTGCATTTTTCTGTCAACGCGTCCATGATCTCTTGCTCCGTCGTCGCGGTGTGCAGCACTTTTTTGCAGGTTTCCAGACACTCTGGAGTGGTAGCCTCGTTGCAACAATGTAGATCTGTTATGAGAAAATACATTGGAAAGATGAGGATATAATTAGAGGGGAAGAGAATTTTTTAAGTTGACGATATTTACGTTGTTTCGGATCTTCGGCGTGTTTCACTTCAGCCACGTTCTTCAAACACTTTGGGTCTTGAAGAAAGCATCCTTTGCTACTGTACAATTTCAAGTTGGAAAGTTTCCCGGGCTTGTAGAATAACTCTTGACAAATGGTCCTGCAGGTATCGTTCGAGACATTGCTGCAGCAATGCTCCGCTTCTTCTCGCCTTTCCAAGCAAGAAAAAAATTCAGGCTCGTCGCTTGGTCGACAGGACTCGTTCAATTGTCTTCTGGATCCTGCTAGGGCGCACGTGGACCGACATAGAGGATTCTGCGCGAGGTAACAGCAACCCCTTCCCGTCCAATTTCCATGTTTCTTCACCTCTGTTAGGAGAGAAACGATAATCGAAAATATTGGATAATTTTTAAAGGAGTTGACAAGGTAGTTGAGAAGCTCACCGTTCAAAGTCGAGTTAACGCAGCCCCAGAACTCCGTCTGTAAGGGAAGAATAAACGGAGAATTGATGGCAAGAACTATCCAGAAGAAGGAAAAAACGTGAAAACCGACGCGAATACGAGAGGAAAGGTATCGCAAAGAGTCTTTTGTAACGCGAATCCATCGATCTCCAGTCCCACGTTCCTTTCTTAAATCGCTTAAAGTATCGTCGTAGGGATCGTGACGGAAAGTCTCGGATCGATTAAAAGCGGCTTACCAGCTCGATGGAACAGAACTCCAGCAGGCTTCGAGTCGCGTTCTCCCTTGCCTCTGCCTCTGCACCCAACACCACCAAAGAGATCTGAAAGTATTTTATTTTTCGTCTACGATTTCTCTCCTTACGTCGATCGTACGAGAAGGAAAAACAGGCACAGCTGTGTACCTCTCGCGATGGGAATTTCCACGATTTGAAATGCAAGGTACGACGTATTAGAAGTTACTAAGAATCAAGGACACGAGTACGCTTCGGTCGCCACGATTTCCTGTTGCTAGCCACTGAATTACAATAGACCGCACGGATATCGACTGTTCTACCATTTAGGGATTCATTTCGGATTCAATCGACGTACACCACGAGGACGTACGATTCTATTTCGTAGTCTCGTCACGGTACAGAGTTACGACTATCCATTGGTGTGCGGTGGGTCCTGTTAGATCTCCTCCTGGTACCCTGGGTCACAAGTAGTATTCTCCTTTCACTACAATCTATCGATCGAACTTGGTCTTTTCACGTCTATTTTCTAACGTGCTCTTCGAGAAGCAAAGGGGAAAAAAGAAAGAACCGTTAGTGAAAAATTGACGGTTTTATATAGAAGTTTCCAGTCGAACTGTTGCAAACGTTAAGGGCGTAAACGATAGCGAACCGTGGAGACGACGTACGTATTTCTGTCGCGGTGTATTCTGGGAGCTATGCGCGGCTTGGCCGCGTCACCGTTAAGGAAGGGGTGAATTTTTCTCGCGAAACTTTTCCACGATCCTATTAATCGGACGATTAATTCGACGAAAGTCCAAATATAACGTAGGAAAATTGAATTATACTTCTAAACCGAAGGGCTAGCTAACTTCCGGTGATTTGGACCGGACGAGGCAGTTAATCTGGCGTGAATCAATCGTCTCACGTTTCGCTATAATAATTCACCGGTAGGATAGAAACGTTTGAAATATTAATGAAAACGTGGACCACCCTAACGTCGCCGGCCGACGGGAATATCTCGTAGAGAAAAAGGGTTGCTAGAGCCCGTGAAAGGGTAGTAGAGATTGGTTTTCGCTGGTACAAATTGCGAGGAAACACGATATCATTGATACCGTGTCTGGCTGTGAGAGTGGAGTGCGTCAATTCGTAATATTTGCGTATGAATGAGCCAAGGCGGGGACCCCCAGGGGGGTCCTGCGTAAATCTCTCAGCGGGCCCCAGTGTCTCCGATATTATCTCGAAAGGGGCCCTGCAGCCACTTTTAAAGAAGCTACAACCACGCGTGCACCCCACGTCGCTCTGGGTCCCTGTCGAAAAACCACCGTGTGCTTCCTCCTCCTCCTCCTTCTCCTCTGCTCCCTTCACCTTTCCCTCCCGACGCTCCTCGTTCTCGCGGCGCAGTTTCCTTTTTATTCCCCGAGAGATCCTAATATATCCGTGGACACGGCATATTTTGTATCCTTTATCGTCCCGGGGTCGGGCCACCGATATTTATCAGCGGCGCGATATCGCGTTCGTCCACCGGACGAAATTATAGTCCTCGAAATCGTCTTTTTCACATTCCCACGGGGATCTTTCGCGCGCATAATTAATAGACTGCTCTAGGGGAAGATGGTCGTAAATTTTCATTCTCAACTTAGACTCGAAGTATTTGAACTGTTCGTCGAACTCGATGGTAAATCGTAGGCTACAATTTCTAGGATGAAACGTACATTGGAGCACACGTTGCGACAAGATCCGGCAGCCAGGGAACAGCAGGACATCTCTGGAACAAATAAAACAGATAGGATACCGGTCAGATATTTTCCGTGCACGCGAAAACATATGGCAACAAGTAGAGGAGGGATCTCCGTAGACAGGACGCACATTGCGATCCTTTCTCCGCTTTCCTCTAGACACGAAACAGACGCGTGTCCTGCGTTACGTCAGTTAGAAAGCGAAAGGATCCGCCTTTATGGTGCCGGATGAGGGTACGTGAGACCCTCTCTTTCACCGTGAAAAGGGAATCGACAATTATAACATTTTTCCCCCTTTTCTTCTTTTCTCTTTCTTTTTTCCCTCCGTTTGGAAAAAATGTTGGATCGTACAGTAGGATATAAACACGTACATTCGGTGTAACCATTTTCGATTGGTCCCGTGACGTGGATATTATTTTTATTAAACGATTTCACGGTGGGAACGTAAGCACGCGCTGGCATCATATTTTCGTGCCGGCAGTCTCGCGTAAGTGATCTTTTACGACTTTACGGGCATAATATGCGGGTCCAGTCAAACTGGCTTTTGAACGAGGACCGAAATCGTGAATGCCGGGCACAATAAACGATGCACACGAGACACAGCGAGCTCGGAGACAAGAGGGTTCGAAGCGTGTTACAATTAAGTTAATAGATACCAGTCAGAGACAAATTGCGACAGACTATGCTTCTCTGCGTGACTCGTTTCACATATCGTATAGTTTCATCGCGGACAGCCGCAGCGGTAGGAACGTTTATAATTTCATTCGTCGCAATTTTTATTTCTACCTACTTTTCTCCGTACTTTTACAACGCGTATTCTCTCGTTAAACGAAACGTTTGTACAGCTGGTTGGAGAGTTCGAAATAGTTGGTTGAATATCGATTTCAAGGGATGGGCACACGGAAGTTTTACTTTCTATCCACTTGCTAAAAATAACGAGGAGAATTGTCAGCTCCGCTCGAAGAGCTTTGTAGCAGGGAAATGGACTTTGAAGTCTCTGCGAAAGCTCGCGGAGTGGTAAAATTTCGCTTGGCAAGTGCGTCGTCCTAAATCGTAACGGGTTTGTGACTTCTCTCGCGGACGACACAAAAATAGCCGACGTCGTTTGCGGCCATTCGACTTCTACCCCGATCTAAGCTCTGAAGTCCTCTTAATTTTATCCACCCGGATGAAACGGAACGACCAAGACCTCTGTCTCTTTGAACTTAGCGCTATTAAAAGCGTTTCGAGACTTTTCAGATAAATATAACTCTTTGAAAATCCTTCTTCAAAGGTATTGTTCCCCTCCCCTCGACTCGACGGGGAACGTTTCTTCTTTTTTCTCGTTCTTTAAACGTTAAAAAATCGTTCTCCTTTTGTCGCTTACCAAAGAAGAATATACACGGAGCTGGTTCTGTTTGAAAGAATTGGATGGAATGTGTCAACATCAATTTCCCTACGTACGCCACACATATCGCGCGTGTGGGTGAGAGAGTGCAGTATAGTTGCATATAAAAGGGCCGTGACTACTCTTCGCAGCTGCGCCTTCCATTGCCATATCGTGCACGAATGGTGACATCCACGTCGTTGCACTCGTAAAACTCGCACGATTCTCCCACGCCTCGCGATAATAATCCTTTCCACCAGATGGAAGATAAGCAGAGGAAGTCGGAAAACCTTCCACGAATTTGCATTAGGTCCACGTGCATCGACTGAAGATCGAGAACGATAACTAAAGGATATACACATCCTTCTACGCGTTTTATCAACTCTAACTTACCAGCTTCCTCACCTTTTCTCCCTTTCGTTGTCGTCGAATTAAAAGAACACACCTACCGCTTCGCGTTTAGCGTCTGTAAACTATCGTGAAAAGGACCCTCGGAACTAAATTGATATCAACGAGCACTTCTCGTCGCTCGTTCAACCTGCTGGCCTAATTAGCGCGGGGTTTGCTTCTTTCCACGAGGATGCTCGTGATTGATGCCTCGTTACGTCACAAGTTATCGCCTCGATCCAAGCCTGTTTTCGTCACACCACGCTGGATAACGTTCGGACCAGGAATTTTTCCGGTTATATCGCCCGGATAAAAACTGGCTAGCTCGGTAGGAGCTGAATGAGAATCTAATTACATAGTGCACGACACGTAAAAGAGTAGAAGGAAGCCGGGAAGGAAACTGTATTACGCTTTTAATTAATACATTCATCAAACCCTACCGGGGACTACTGCACCGCGCGAGAATCGCTGGATTTTACGAGGGGAACGTGATCTACAATGCGAACGACAGAGAAAGAGCGAGCGAATAAAAGATCGATCTAGAAGAAGAGAGGCGATTACGTAGAAGGTGGAGAGAAAATGAGAGAGAAAGAGAGATAAGAAGGAGGGAATCGAGATACGTGTCTCTCGACATGTTTTTATCCGACGTGAAGCTGTCACGGAGTTTTATGTGTTTATTTCTCTCTCTCTCTCGACACACCACGAAACATGTATCGAAAGGCAATGAGAGAAAGAGAGAGAGAGTGTGCTTCTATACACGCGACTGGTGGACCGTGTCAGAGCTCTGCCGATTGGAAGTCGCGTTCTCCTTTAACCCCTTCGTTCGCACGTCTCGTTCTTTTCCCCCCCGTGAGAGTGTTTCTCTCTTTCTTTCTCTTTTCTTTTTTCACGCTTTGGTAACGCGGTTCGCGACAACCGGTCCAAAGAAATCGTTCCCCTGGGATCTCGGACGCAACAGGATCGACGTAAATCCTTCAGGAAGCAGACCGGAGTGTCCGTCTAATTGCCGACACTGTTTCGAAAATCGTGTAACCAGTCACGAAGCTTGGGTGTTCCGAATCGGTGTGGTCTGTTCCTGTTTTTCTCTTTTGCCAGCGGATAAGCGATTCCGTGTCACCCGTTTTATCGTTCATCTCGCGATTTTACGCGAGCAAGTATAATTGCTGTTGGCATTGACGCGAGCTGAAAGCACAGCGACCAGATGAAGAGATCTCTTACGTTTACACAGAAAAACGAGTCGTTCCGAGTGAAATCGCTCGACTGCTCGTAAAAGACTGGAGAATAAAGTATCTCAGAGACGTTAATTGGCTATCACGGTGTGTACACTGTCATCAGTGTTCCGAATCAATATAAAACGGACGAGTTCTCGGCATTTTCAAACATCCAATACGTTCTATAAAAAGAAAGAGGGTTAATGGAAGTCAGATCGCAAAGAGAGAAGGAGAGACTTTGTCGATTAATAACTGAGTCCATTCTCGGTTAAACGAGCAACGAACTTCTGCCGATTAATTAATAAGATCAATCCTCCAGATCGATGTTTTCAAAGTGTTGCCATAAATCGGTTGCGCAACCGGTCACGTTCCAATTTCCAGAGCTGAAAGACAGGCGAAATTGCACGCGCGCCAACGCATAGAAAGGATTTACACATGCGTTAAAATTACTATGATCCACGCGTGTGTAACGCCACCGGCCACGCGACAATGTTCACCCCATCTCTCTCGCTTCTTCTCGATATTATTTCACGATTCCTCCTACGATGATCCACCGTCCAGGCTGAAATTACCGCAATCGAATGACACCCTAACGATGCTTTATAGCGCAGGATCTAACGCGAGGCTTATCCATGATTTATCGACGGAACGTTGGCCACCACGACACGAGTAGTCTCGCGATCTCTCCCCGCGCTCTCCTAGGTGTGTATCTCTTTGACAGAGATAAGCGGCGAGTCCGAACCGCGTGCTCCAACAACGAAACAAACGCCGTTCTACCGAAACGACGGCTTTCGATCGTCGATTAAACCGATAACTGGCTTGTCTAGCGCATTAGCATTGTAAGGCATAAATATCGGAGCTGGTTCTCTCTACCAGTAACACACGTTTCTTGCAACCGTACCCGCTGACTGATAGATACCAAACGCAGATTTAAGCCTTCGTGTCGGCCACCACCGGGGATAGAAAAGTCCGTTGGGGATTTATGAGATATCAATTAGCATGGAATTATTCCGTTTCGTGTACTCTATACACCTTTGGCCAATACTTGGCGAATAAGTTGTACAACCACCGGTTGTGTTAGGGGAACTGAACGAATGGAAAAGGTGAGTGGATCGGTGAAACGCGACGCGTTATCACCTTCGACTCTGTTGCGCGAATATACTTATACGAGAATATGCGGCTGCCAATGGCTCTGCTTCTCTCCAACCAGCTCTCTTTCCTCTTATTGTACGAGGAGCCTGTGTGTGGACGCCTTCGAACCGAAGAGCTGAAGAGGCAGAGGCGAAGGACCGTTAGCGACACCTCGTTCACACGCACGTGCACCATGTAAATTTCAGGAGAGCCAGGAGAAAGATTAAAGATCTGTTGTGACGAAACGTGGAACGAACAGATTCTTTTCTTTCTTTTTTCTTTCTTTTTTTTCGGGAAATTCCATCGAGAACCACACGCTCGCCGAGTTGTTTTTAATGTTCGCGCCAGTTGGAACGATAACAACGTTCGTTAGGCTGTTCGATTGAACAATCCCGGAAGAGAAGGATGCTTTTTGTCACGTGGATGCCGTGAGAAGTTTCCATCGACACTCGAGCGGGGCCGTACTTGCCGCGCGGAAACTCGATAAAGAAGCCCCGTCCTGCTTCTCGAGTGCGACTTGATAACATTCAAGAAGGGAGAGAAAGAGAGAGAAAGATCGCGGCGCGAATCGAACAAGCGGAAGAGGCTGGAAAAAAGGCGACGCTGACAAAAGCGAGGAGAATTAATGCGGAAAAGGGGGACGAGATACAAGACGAAAGAGGAGAGACAACTCGCACATGTGGCCACAGAAGTTGTCGTCGATATCTTCTTGGCGCGATGACAAAGACTCGCGAGGATGGGTTCACTGAATCCGTCCGTCGAGCTCGTGTTTTAGCGCAGCCGCGAAAACGACCAGTTGACATGGCTCGTTTTGAAAAAAATCATTCGTCTGACGGTTCCCGCGCGTTAATCTCTCTCCTCTTTCGTCCGGTCCGTATACATGGAGCGAAAATGTAAAGAAAATTGAAATTTACCTTGCGTGGAGTCGAGAGAA